GTTAACTTCATATTTATAAGAAAAGATAAATAATGAAGGTGATATCTCAAATACAGATGGTCAACCAACAATAATCCCTCATGGCAAATTTCTTAGCTTTTTATTCCTGAAATCTGCACAGAAGAGCTCTTCTAAGAACACAATCTCTAGTACCACACACATGAAATGAAGTGTTTTAAATAAAAAGGGAGTTGATATCTTAAATTGAGATTAAAATTATTTTGATTTTTAATTGAGAGTTATACTCCTCAAATTGAGAATTTCAATCACACATCTACAAATAAGACTGGACCGGCATACTCACATGCACCCCTAATTTCAATTACTGAGGTTTTAAAAAGAATCAAACATTGAAAAAACCCTAATTGAGAATTGAGATTATTAAACAAGAACTTAAAGAAATCATCTCTTTGTTAAATTTACTTACTGTGATTGTAGATATTAGAAAACTTTGTTGCAGACTTGGAGTGTTGCGGTACTGCAGCCCCTAAGTCCCTCGCTGAAGTACTGCTCGATATCTCTCTCTTTGTGTTTTTTTGTGCGAAAACTCAATTGCAGAAAGCAGAAAATCCATCTCTTTGGGGGGGCTTTATATATATGTATATCTTTAATTAGATTCATCCGTTAATTGATATGTGCAAGACCTTTGGTGTCTCCTATGGCCGGACTCTTTAATGCGAGGAAAAGAAGCGGCCGGACTTTTGGTTTCTACTATGTCGGGCTATTTAGTTGAGGAACAGAAGCCGAAAAGACAAATAGTGCAAGAACTATATGTAGTCTATTTAGTGGATATGCGGGTCGGGGCGGGGCGGGTCGGGGCAACGCGGGCCATGATTAATACCCAGACCCGGCCTGAACTAAGTGCGGGGCGGGGCGGACCCGACCCGTTCGATTCGCGGGGCGGGGCGGACCCGCTTTAAACGGGTCGGGGCGGGGCGGGGCCGCTCGGGTCGGGTTTTTTTTGCCATTCCTAGGTCTGGTCTGGTAAACGTCTGGTTTCTGTGTATTTTATAACTACGGAAGTCTGGTCTGGTCTGGTCTGATCTGGTCTGTTTAAGTCTGGTTTGGTCTGGGACTAAAAACAATCCAAAAGAAAACATCTTAAATCATAAAAGTTGTATGTTTAGAAGAGCAAAGTTAAAACTTAAAAGTACCATGTGAATGATGTCTCATACTTCACAAAAAGCCTTATATAACTTCATGTCAAAACATTATTTCGTTACTTATTAATTATTATGAACATAATAGAAGCCTATGAACTTATATAACACCTGCTATGGAATAGTGCATTTTGAAATGTATAGGCAGCAGTAATATCCATTAAAAATGGCAAAACGCAATCTACCAGTAATATGTTGTCCTATCCATAAACCATAAGCTACCCTTGCTATTTCAAAGAGTCTTGCTATTTCAAAAACAGCAATACATTCATAAAAGACTTAACTGCAAAGGGGTGCTATTATTAAATTTCTAGTTACCATAAACATCAATACCAGGTTTCACACAATACTAGTTTTCTTTTATCACTTCTTCGTATTGCTTCATTACTTCTCTTCTTGGTTAATCTGGGTTTTTTTGTTTGCTCTTCCCCTTACGCGAATTCCCTAGCTTGGGTTGGACTGTACATCTTTTTTTTCTTTTTTTTCTGCCACCACAATTGCAGCGGCATACTTCAATAGTTCAATCTTAGTGCACCGAGCTGCTTCTTGTCTTCCTTTCACATACCACAATCTCATCCTTGCAATGCACCGTCTCACCCTTCGTATGTTTCTATGTGTCCTAAGTTAGCACTTTCCCGTTCTTCTTCTTCTTGTTCAGTGTCATTGATACCCTTTACAGTAGTTTTCAGAAGCACTTTAGAGCGACTGCATTGCACTTTCTCCCTTCCGGCTCCGCTCATTCTCTGAACGCCCAGTGCCCCCCTCTTGCCTTCTTGCATCCATTTCCCCCAATTTAATTCCTACCTCTTCCTCTTCAATGCTAGCTTGGATCCCTGGACATTACCTGTTCATTTATAGGAAGTTTAAAAAGTTCAAATATTGTAATTTTGTAGTCATTACTACTAACAATCACTTTAAATAATACCTTATGCACTCCCAACATTCTCATATCACTTTAGCATACTTATACATCCATTACAGTTCTATACTTCTGTTAAATAGTTTTTCTGATCTGCCTAATTCTCCAATACTTCTTAAATGCAAAGGTATTTTTTTCATCTTCTCAATATGACTCTAAAAATTTTGGTTTTGATTACACCACTGTAAAGTGTAATAAATCATGATTTCAGTTCTTCTTAACCAACAAAAAGATGTCTTCACTTATAACTTAATCATCAGCTCTTTCTTGTTCCACCCATAGAAAACATAGAAAAAAAAAAAAACAGAGTAGAAAACATAAACGATGCCATTTTTATTCATTTCTAATAATGAAAGAAATTGTTTAAACACTACATATTCGCAACAATCTTTTAAGTTTAATAAAACAGCCCCTCAATAAAGCCATAAGCCTGCATGAGTGAAAATCGCTACTTTATAAATACTATTGTGTGACACATGTCAAGCATCCTAAACACATTTATTGGATACCCTTTCATCAAAACATTCTATATAGATAAAGCACTACATGAATAAGTGAAAAAAAGCATTCTTTCCTACTAAAACTAACGGCTGGAGCAAGCGGCATTATTATTATGATGATCATTAAAATCAAGTGGAGTAAGTATACCTCCGCCATCAAATAATCCCAATGATATCCCCAAGCAAATACAAGAACGTCTTGTATGATAAGTGGCAGTTATGTCAATTCGATGAAATTTTCAAATTGGTTTAGCGATACATTGTCTTTTAACATTAGAAGTCATACTTCGTGGAAATGATAAGTTCAAGGAACATCACATAACTTCACCTAGCATTCCAATAAAGCACAATAACTTCAACTATCACCCCAACCTGTAAGCAAAAACAATTTGTAATGTCTTAGTTACATTTACGAGTCTCTTAAAAGATACTCACAAATCAGTCTTGACCTTATCAAAAATATTTGATGCATTTAGGGATTGAAAGAAGTTGCCCCCCCCCCCCCAATCAATAAGCTCTAACTCGTTCATGCTCAGAAAAAGCACATTTGTTACCTAGATTTGTAACAGGATATCTTAATTCATCACAGATAAAAATTAGGTTTTAAGAAAATCTAATGTAAAAACCAAATTATATCATCAACAGAAATTCAATTACATTTTATCCAAACTAATTGGTCCCCATAATAAAATGAATTCCCATTTCCGTTAATCGCAGAGATAAATTAAATGAAATGAAATAGCAAAAACCTAACAATTAAAACCAGTTATGGTATTACCTGCGTCTATGCACTGATTGTGGACTTGGTGCGCCGCCGAACTCTTGACACTCTTCAATAGTGTATAGAGGAGCTGCAAATGCCCTACTTTCATACGGCATTTTGTCAACATCGTAACCCTCAAGTCATAGATCGTAGAAGGTAGAACATCATGTTTTCGAAAATGAGAACACGGCAATCCGGTTACAAAATGTTTCGAGGCCGTAGAAACATGAAAGGAGAAAAGGAAATGAGATGTGATTTCCAGATAGATGAAAGTGCTATTGTAAGGGATCACAATGCAATATTTGAATCTTTTCCTAAATTAGCTTACGTAGCATGTAATTCCAATTAGTTTTAGCCACGTCAGTGATGCACCAAAACCTTCAGCAATACGAATGCACCGAAGAGTTCCCCTAATTTTTAACCATCTATAGTTTTATATAGTAAACTTGAGTTAAAAAAACAATGATGTGTCAACTTCTTATTGGATAATGCAAATTCTATTATCATTACAATTAAAACAATTAATTAATTCAATGTCCACCACACCTAAGTATAGTACATTACCGCTGATTTAGAGGAATAGTAGGAGAAAAAATCTCTCTTTTTTAAAGTAATATAACTTTTATATTTATAATCCAATTTTTACAAAAAACATATCAAAATTCATATCTTTTTAAGATCTTTCATATGACACCAATATTATATATGTGAAAATATATGAAAAAATATCTATTATTTTATATAGCAAAACTGAGTTGAAAATTATATTGATTAATAAAAATTCTATTATGACTACTACTAAAACATTTAAACATATTTTTACTTGGACTGTAACCTATCCCAGACCAGACCAGACCAGACTTGGATAGTTATAAAAATACAAAGAGACCATACATTACCAGACCAGACCAGTTCAGCAAATCACAATCCAAGTAAAAACATCCTAATTCATATAAGTTGACTCGGTTCATCATTGTTATTCACTACATGCATCATTGATCATTTAGGGAAAGGGAAGGAGAGAAAAAATCTTAATTTAATTTAATGTATTATAACTTATTCTTATTTATCTGTACACCAAATTTGACAAAAAAAAAAAACACATCAAAATTTAAAACTTTTTACGATTTTTCACATGACACAAATTGTAGAAAAAGTATACCAAAAATCATAAAGTTTTATTATCTTTCATATGACAACAAATTGGATATATAAATAATTATTTGAAATTTGAGTTATAAATCAATTCAATGATATATCATATTTATAGTGAAATTTGAGTTTAAATTTGCATTATGGGAAGTGCACATTTATACCGTAGTCGTGACACATATTAAGAATCCAAATTTCATTCACTACTAGAATAATGCTTAATTGCTGCGGTTGTTTTGGAGTAATTGCTGCGGTTTATAACCGCAGCAATTGGAGGAGCAGCAAAATGAGAATTTAGTTATTTGCTGCGGTTGAGAACCGCAGCAAATAGGCAATTTTAATTTTTTGGGGAGTACTTTTTGCGGCGGTTGTTAAAGGACCGCAGCAAATACCACTAACCAAATTTAAAATATTTCCACCCATTTATCTAATCGTATATATATAATACGAACCCCTTCCGCCGTCCACTTTCTCATCATATCTCCAAATGGACAGGAAACATGTTCTCCACCAACAGAATACCTTTTTAATAAATCATCACCAAAGTCACTTATAAAGTATCTCAAAAATATTATTCTTGTCCAATACAACAAAAATTTAATCTGAATACATACTTTATGAATAGAACGGAGTAAAGAGTTTACAAATTTTAATCGTAGAATACAATTCAATCTTAGAATATGCCTATTTGTTAGCTGCTTCATTTTTCTTTGGCGTTGCTTCCCCGCAAGTTTCTTAGCTGGTTCCATATTTCCTAGAAAAATGAAGATCAAATAAACATTTCAAAACGTTTGTTTCATTCAAATGTATAAAAAAATCATTTCAAAAACATTATAAAAAGGTGAGGGTGTTTTTTGCCTTTCTAAAAACTAAAAGGCATTAAGTATAGATATAATCAATAAATTTAAGGACCTTCTCTGTCAACCAGAAAAAAATTGTGTCTCAGATTTATATATTTGATTAACTTTCCTATATAAGAGATGAAATAAAAAAAATACGGAGTATCAAATTTTGTTGAAAAAATTATGCATTTAGAATTGGTACTAATAAAAACAAGGAAAATCTTAAACTATTCACCCAAGAAGATGAGATGCAAACTGGCCTTGATTTACCCAAGTCCCAAACGAACCTCTACAAGCTTTGACCAATCCCTTCAACTGCCCAGGAGGAGGCTTTCCAATCATAATTTATAATAGAGCTCTAGAGGAAGAGTCAACCTCTAACTCCCTATAACCTTTAACTCAGACCAAAGGGCTGCTAATAAAGCCATTGTAGCTACCTGCAATACTCAAGAGCAACACTAAGAGCAATACCTTTCAGTGCATTCATCATTCATAAAGGTCTGGGCAAAATTAAGCTTTACTTTTTAGCAGCAGTCATGCACTTTCAAAGAATTGTGAATAGAATTATGAATAGAATTGGTACTAAGATAATCTGTATGCTAGGTTTGTGAATAGAATTGTGAGGCATAGATCAGCCCCTTAGCTCCCTCTGAACTTCCTAGCAAACTTCTTAGAATGAACATTACACCAAGCAGGGTCTGCTTTAAAACTGTATAAATTTGGAGTCTTCAATTTACTCATCCACCTAGTTGATAGAACAATACGACTTTCAAAGAAACCACCAAATAACTCCAGGTAAAAGTGTAAAACCATTATATTGTCCTACTAGAGTAGGGTTGATCACCAACAACATGTCTCTCATCTTCCATGCAATATCAGTCTTCCCATGGTATGCATTTGTTGACATATTGTGTCAGATTTAAAACTGATAAATATTCAGATTTAATTACATAACCCAAAATTGAACTAATCACTTAAAATTCAACAAGTGAACAACTATAAACTAATCAACTAATAACTTAAAAAATAAGCAGAACACAACATTAACAAAGAAACTATATCAGTACTCAAAATCCAAAAATTTATTTAATTAAGAAATCAACTAATCTTGACGTCAACAAGGGCCGAAGGCAGAACAAATCAACCTAAAACAATCAACAATTATGATTTGTGAATACGATTATATGAATTAATTAACAAATCAACCAAGTATTTATCAACAACTATGAAGTATGAGGTAATCGATAAAAGAGTTAAAGAGGAGTACTAGAACTCACAGAAGCCAGGAGGCGTGGGGCGCACCAGAAGGCCTGGCACTTCAAAAATACATACAAATTCAACTTCATACAAACATAAACATTAATACTTATTTCAGAAATTCAAACAAATACTTCATATTATTTTTTTGTAAAATGATAAACAAATAAAGCAAACTATTTGAAATTATGATAGTTTGGGGGAATAAACCTCTAATTAGTGAAGAGGAGGCGTCAATAAGCAAGAGGTGGAAGAGGACCGGAGGGGGCGAACATGAAGAAGCGGCAATTGAAAGTGTAGTGGTCTCCACTTCGGGCGGCGACTGTAGCTTGTCTCGAAGAACTGGAGGAGCGGTGATGTCCGATTGATGTTGATAGGCAGACAACGGCTCTGTGCTGCTGGGAGATGGCGGTGTGCTGTTGAGAGACGACGGTGTGCTACGAAGAGAGGGGCGGCGGCCACTTGGGCAGAACGGTGCTTAGGGAAGCTTGTGGAATTTGCAGTGTAGGAAAATGCCCAAGTACTAAAGAGTAAATACGTTCCACACAATTGTTGTGGTCAGTGTTCGTCCGCATCACATAGCTTAATATCTGTATACATATTGCTACGGTCCTAACTTAAACCGCAGCAAAAAGCTATCCGGAAAGGCTATTTGCTTCGGGTTCTCTTTGACCGCAGCTATAAATACAAAAAAATGTAGTTAATTGCTGCGGTTCGTTAATAACCGCAGCAAATAAGGAGCAGCAAATGAAAGAAATTCTAGTAGTGATTATATATTTAAATTTATTGTTTTATTTAGTAAAGCGGGGTTACAAACTGGTGACGTGTCACTATGTTATTGATTAACAAAAAATCTATTGTCATTATTGTGAAAACATTTAATTAGTTCCAAACAAAAAGGAGATCTGGTTAAAAAAAGGAAATGAAATAGCTATAATGAAAAGGGAGGGAAAAAAGGAGGAAGAAAAATGTTAAATAACTAACATTTGATATTATGTAGACTCCACACATCAAACCATTAATTAGTTCGTACAAAGATGGAACAACTAATGGAAAAGTCTAGAGAAAAGTAGGAGAAAAAACGTAAATAAGATATCCTTGAAAGCTATTATGTTACTTTTATTCTTATTCTTATTGTTTACTCCATATTACTTATTCTTATTTTATTCAGAATAAAAGTCAAATCAGATTAGCCCATGCAAAACATTCAATCTAGATTAGATTAATTAGAAAACTTCAGATCAAATCAGAAAAATTCGAACCAAAAATAAAAAATTCAGATCAGATCATAAAAATTCAAGCCAGATTGGTTCAAACATAATGTATTATTTTTACTATTATGATGATTCCAATCTTTTCTAAATATTTTTGTAGGTTATTATTGTATGTTGCTTCCATTGAAATCAATTACGAATATTGTTAATTATTGTAGTCATTATTTGTATGTTATTTAAAAAAATCAGATTAGATCAGACAAGATCTTAGATCATATATATTCATATCTGGCGAATATAACAACTTCTTAATATCAACCATATTAATGGAGTATAATTCTCGGAATAAATACCATATCAATTCAGTTTCCAAAATAATTGTACAAAATCCACTTTTTAAATAATGAGACTCGAAATCTCCAATACATGTAATAGGACTCTTAATCATAAAAAAGTAATCTTACTCATTTGAGTGAGACTCTAATTCAAGACTAAAATTTTAAATAATGAAACTTTAGTTCACGTGAATGGGACTCTAATCCCACAACACAAATTAAATAATAGACGTGAATATCCAAAATAATGTAAAATTGTAAGCTCCACATATTCTCAATTCCAATTCAACGCTTCTTATAATCACCCTCATCATATAATTAGTCATATAAATAATTAATAACTATTACAATACTAAACACACAAATCACAATGTAATCCCAAATTCATACTCCAAAAGATGGTGATTCATCACCTGTATTCCATGGTGGTGGTTAATACATACTACCTTCGTCCCTCTTTATTTGGCCATATTTGACTTTTTCAGTCAAAGATGATAAAACTTTGATCTATTATTTTAACTAATATATTTATTTGAAATTAAAGTTAATAAATTTATACTTTTATGAGCAGAAAGTTTTAACAAATAACATTTCATATCATTTCCATATTATCATTACTACTGTATATAAATATATAATTGGTCAAATTCAACATCATTGACTTAAAAAATAGTGTTTGGTTATATATAAAGCGACAAAGGGAGTAAAAGAAATTTATTATAACCAAAATTTGATCATATCCTATGAATAATTCACAATGTTTATCTGTATTTGTCACCTCACCCATATCAAATTAACCCTACCGGGGCATGCCCCGGGTGTTACACTAGTTTTATAAGTGAATGCAACAATTGCACGGAAAATAAATCCAAGGTTAATTCATAATACGATTTCAAAGTCCAGCAATTGCAACTTGGGAATAAAATCCACTAAAATGGAAGAAATAATAGAAGTTTTGAAAATTAAACTGAATTGGTCACGCCTTTGGGAATATAAGAGTCAAGAGGTCCTAAAAATAGGTAGACAATTTGACAAAGAAGAATTAAAAGTATATAACCAAGAACGATGATGATGAACATTAGGATTTGGCTTGACAATGGCTCCAGCATAACAATAGGTCTCACCAAAACGACATGGAGAAAACGGGAACCCTGCTCAAGCTCCAATATGATAGAACTGGTTATATGCGCAGAGCAAATCAATCGTCTGGCGTGGCCGCATGGGTAGAATAGGAAAGGTGAGAAATAAAACGAGCGGCTGATTCCAAAACGCTAAGAGAAATATTTTCTTGTTTTCTACTTCTGTTTTTCGTTCTCCAATTTCCTGTTTTTATTTTTCAGTTTTTCTATCTCCAATTTTCTGTTTTTATTTTTTAGTTTTCCATTTTCAAATCTGAAAACATGTTCATCAATTTTTTCACCCAATTCTCCAATTCCACACCCTTGACCCATACCCTTACCACGATCTTACACTCTACCCATACTCCCCCACAACCTTTCATACCCACCCATACCTACTCGTAGGGGTCGGGGTAGGGAAGTTATGGGTGGGGTAAGGGGTATGGTCGGGGTGGGGTGGTAAGGTCTAGGGGTTGGGGGTTGGGTGGGGTAGTGGGTGAGTTAGGGTCGTGGTTAGGGGTAAGGGTGGGGTAGTGGGTAGGGTTTGGGGTAAGGTAAAGGTAGGGTATGGAGTTGGGATAGGATGGCGGTAGGGTGGGACCGGGACCAGGGTGGGGCTGAGGTAAGGAAGGGGTAGGGAGTGGGGGTAGGATGGTGGTAAGGGTGGGGGGTAGTGGGTAGGGTTGGGGTAAGGTAGGGGTAGTGGGATAGGATGGCGATAAGGCCCGAGATCTGGGTGGGGCCGAGGTAGGGGAAGGGTAGGGTGGGGGGGTAGGATGGTGGTCGTATGGCGGAAGGGTGGGGGTAGGATGGAGGTACGAGGGTGGGGGTAGGATGGCGGTGGGGTGGGGCCGAGGTAGGGGCATGTGGTAAGGGGTGAGGGGTAATATACGGGTGGGGGGTAGGGTAGGGTGGGTCGGGGTGGGGCCGAGGTAGAGGAAGGGTAGGGTGGGGGGTAGGATGGTGGATGGCGGAAGGGTGGGGGTAGGATGGCGGTACGAGGGTGGGGGTAGGATGGCGGTGGGGTGGGGCCGAGGTAGGGGCATGTGGTAAGGTTAATATACGGGTGGGGGGTAGGGTGGGTCGGGGTGGGGTCGAGGTGGTAGGGGGGTGGCGGTAGGGTAGGGTGGATCGGGGTGGGGTAGGGTCATTATAGGGAAAAATGGGTATGCGGGGTGGGGTTGGGTGGGTATGGTATGGTAGGGTAGGGTAGGGGTAAGGGGTAAGGTACGAGGATGGAGGTACCGAAATGGAATCGACATCGGAGCGGGACCGGACCCACCACTAGGTGTAAGTATGCAAATTCATTGCAGCGGCACTGTAGCATCTGCGTTTTCCAAATTTGGAAAACTAGTAAAAGTCACTTCTCCAAATCATTAAGGAAAAGAGAGACATGTCTCATTTTTTCCGTTTTGGAAAACGATTTGGTAAACACGTTTTTCTTTTTTCCTTTCTCCAGTTTTCCAGGAATTTCTTTGGTAAACACGTTTCCTGTTTTCTATTTTCCAGTTTTCCAGTTTTCTGGAAAACTGGAAAATATCTCTGTTAGTAAACAGGCCCTAAGGTTCCAGGTGTTTTCTATTTGGGAAAAGGGTCAAATAGGCCCTTGAATTTATTTACATAAAAAGGTCAAATAAGTCCTTATATAGGAGGCTCTGTCTGGCCGTCGCCATTTGGGGCGGTTCCCGATGAAATTTTTTGATGAATTTTTTTGAACATCTTATTTATTAAGTCTAGTTTACTCATACCAAATATCAGCTAACAATTCAATCGGGAAGGCATTCAAATGAATTATTGAAGATAGCTGCGCATTTAAAAGAAAGATCTGGAAAAACGCTTTGAATAGGAATGTGCTCCCCGAGCGTATGAATTGCAGTGTTCACTTGGGGGTTGTCCAACAGGTGTGACAGTCCGTTTCGGCTTATTTTAGCCGAATCTGGCGTATATGGGACGAGATGGCATCCATATCTAAGGCGCCTAGTTGTAATTGCGGAAAGTGCATGTGTGATATCACAAAGGAAATCAACACCGCAAGGGATCGATATCATCTCTATGATACTCTAATGGGATTGGATGATTATTATGCTCATCTTAAAAATTCAAATTCTTGCCACACGTCCAATCATTTCTTTGACCGTTGGTTACCACTTAATTTCCGAGGGAGAACAACACTGGACCATAGCTACAGCGCGGAAAATTGGCATGGAGAGTACAACGGCGTTCCAGACTCATCTCAAACCGGGCACAGGAAAAAATTTGGAAGAGATGGGAAGTTCTGTACCCAATGCGGCAGAACCAATCATAATCTTGATACATGCTTTGAAATTGTGGGTTATCCACAAAATTGGAATGCTCGTAAATCCTCTGGAACGCGACTTGGGGAACATCGACTGACGGACCGACCTGCAAAGCATGATGACCGCAACAAGAGAGGAGGCCCACCTAAAGCAACATACGTTGACACGCATAGCACTGTTATGTCACGCATGACTGATGAGGAGCTGCAACGTCTAGCACAGTACATGCGGCGAGAAATTAGGAATCAACATTCCACATCAGCGGAGTCTTCTAATGTGCAAATAAATATGGCAGGTAAAAATCAGACGCAGTGGATCATTGATTCCGGAGCGTCCGAGAATATTACGTGTAACAAAACTCTTCTAAAGAATATCACGGCCAATCCGTCTGAGTCCCCTGTTCAAATACCAAATAGAGATCTTGTCACTGTGTGTTCCATTGGGAGCCTAAATCTGCCTAATGGATTGACTTTATCCCGTGTTTTATGTGTGCCACATTGGAAGGGTGTGTCGAGTGGTGCAGTGAGGGTGGCACGTCAACATCGAAATTCTCCAGGTGTGCGGGCAGACATCGAACTCGTCCACTTTTCCGTGATTCCTGGACTGGCGGTGCTTCATGCTGGGTTTCATGCATTGACTCTACGGATCCAGAAAGGTCAAGGCCGTGAGATGGCTCTGTCTCTCGTGCGTGAGAAGAGAGTATTGCATGGGAGTAGTATTGCCTGTAACACCGTCCCCAAACATATTTACTTTTAAGTGAATAATGTATTAAACCTTATGGAATGGTTAATGAATTTATGAAGTTGTGAATTTTTATTAATTCTTTCGTGTGAATAGTAAATGTGCATGTGGGACCCACACCGGAGCGGGGACTGCCCGATATTCCCGAGACCATATTTTTATTCATGCATCTTGATCTAGATAATATTTATATGGTGGTGGATATTTCATTTGGGCCATGGAAGGGCCCAGAGTTGACCGATTGGTCAACTGAGGCTCAAATACCGGTATTGGTAATTTAACAGATAAAAGCCCGAAATTGGATTTCGGGGACTTATAAATTTAAGTTGGGGAATTTATATTAATTATAGGAGTCATAATGATTGAGAAAACGTAATATATTTTATTTGATCCGATAAAATAAAATATATTTAAAACAGTCCGAAAAATACAACTTTCGGGACCGAATGTACACAAAGGGATGACCTCCCACATGAGTGGAGGCCACCCCACGTTTTTTTGTGCTAGAGTAGACAAAGATGGGCTGTTTGACTTGGAAGGAGAGAGGTGAGGTGATGAGCATCAAAGGTACACCCATTACCCCATTTCCCTCACTCATTGGTCCAAACAAAACAAAAGTAATTCATCCCCCCTCACCACCATCATTATTCGGCCATCACTAACCAAGCAAGAGCAAGAAAACCCTCCATCCTTCTCTTCTCCATTGTTGAAAGGAGCTCACAACAAGGTGGAAGCTTAAGAAAGAAGTTTAAGTGCTAAAAGTGAGGAAAAACTAGGTAATTGCTTAAATTACCTTTTCTTCTTAGTTTCTTGAATATATTACTATTTGAGGATTTTATGAAGAACCTTTGGATTATTATACATCTTGATAAATGTAGAAGAAGTGGTTGGAAAGTGGTTCTAAGTCCAAAAATGGACTTAGAAGCCCAAAACTACCGGTTCGCCGAAAAATAACCATTTAGAGGTTATTTGTATTAATTAAGGTTTTATGATGTTAAAACCTTGTTAGGAACTTGATTGGGTATTTTTAGAGCTTCGCCGGAGTTTTGCCGGAATTGGTCAAAGTCCGCCGGAGTTGATCAAAGTTCGCCGGAATTCGCCAAAGTTCAATCGGGGAGCGTAGAACGCGCTAAGGACTCACATAAGGTGAGGATGACCGTGTCACGCCCCGGACCTCCCCGGACACGTCAACAACCCGCCGTACAATACAAATAGTCAACCGTAGTCCAACACATTCATATTATACAAGGCGTCTTGAATATCATTCACACATATAACATCCATAAACAAACATAATAAGTAATTCATAACGCAGCGGAAAACATTGTTTAAAACAAAAGGGCCACACAGGGCTATTCATGAGCACGCATGCTCTATAGTAAAATATCCATGAGCATGTTTAATATTGTTCAAAACAGATTGGAGAAGGCATGAACCACGCCTTCTCTCCAAAGGATCACCCGAGCAATGGGCACAGGTAGCAAGCTCGAGCCTCAACCTGAAATGGTGGTGGGACGCCCCCGAAGGGGTCAGTACTCTATACGGCTATAAAGTACTGGTGTGGCAGACATCTAATAGATATACAACAAGTATTTCAATCACAAGACCCTCAAATAGGGTGATAGTTCATTATGATTGTAACCCTAAGTTACCCCGTTCGAAAATATACTTACTTATATAAAAGTCAAGTAGTCGGCCCGTGGGCCCATGTTCATTTAGAAATCACCATTCCCATTCCCCGTGACTATAAGCCACGAAAACTCATAGAGTCCAACCCTAACACATGACATTGTATTCTAGAGCTCGGCTCTATCACATCACCATACAATTCATGTCACTTGAGTCAATTTCCTTACCTTGCGTTCTAGAGCTCGGCTCTATCACATCACCACGCAAGCCTTAGAGCTCGGATCTAGTTATAACATACATAGACTACAAGTCTACCACCTTACCATGCATTCTAGAGCTCGGCTCTATCACATCACCATGCACCAAGGTCCAATTCTTAAGCAAGCCTATGCCTAGAATTGACATATCAATTCAATAAACTACCATGGGTCATCCTTAAAGACTGCCCATAACTTAACCTTAGTTTCATACTAAGTCATTATATACACTTGAAGTGTATTCAAGTGCATTTCATGCAATCCAATCCCTAGGATAGATTCCAACAACAATTTCCAATAATCACTAACTAGTATTTCAATACTATTAAGATTATTGTTATCATACAAATATTCTCATTTTGTAATTCCCTACATATTTATAATTATGTAGCAGCAACTTAAATATTGAATCTCAATACATAAATATCCATTTATGTATCCTCATATTTCATACATGAGTAAAATGCCTATTTCACAAAATAGTTCATTTATAACTCATTTAATCTCCTATTATTCATACAACCTCACATCACTTCTAATTTCATTCTTTGGAAACTATATCAATATGTCATCAATATTTAATCATCACAATCCATGAAAAATTATGATTTAGGCATTTAGGTAATCTCATGCTTAACCTACAAGTTGTAAGCAATTAGATGTCAATCCTAACCTTAATTGAGCTTTAAGCCTTTCCTTCTTGATTCAATGATCAAAGCTTCGGTCAAGGTGGATTAAGAACTGATTCCTTGCTTAAGTATGAGTGTTAAACAGCCTCCTCAAAGTGCTAGCTCAACCCCTAAACGTTGATACGAAAACAGCCCCTAGAATGGGTGTTTTCCGGCGAACTCGTTTCCTAGTTTTTCCAATATTTGCTCTAGGTTAGTATCTAACCTTTACATCAATAAAATAACTTTATAAGGACATATTATACACTTGGATTAGTGTATAATAGTTCCACCAATCGTTCATATCATTTGGAAAATGAAAGGAAAGGTTTTGAGGTTAAAACTCACTTTAGAAGAGTAAATCCGTTTCTGAGGTTGTGTTTTGCTCGGACTATTTGGAAGCCTTACACTACTCCGATTGATGCAAACCAGACCTTCAAGGATTCCTAGTCTTGAGATCTTTCTTTTGGTATCCCACACGCCTTATTTAGACGAGTGAATCTCAAGTTATGGACCCAACAAGCAACCCTATCTACTGGAAAACGAATCTGCGGCCAGCTTCTTTTTCACCTCTCTCTTGAAGTATGTGGCTCTCTCCTTCTCTATTATCTTTGGGAGTGCGAATGGGGGGTTGTGGGAGTGTTATCTTGTCCCTCACTTAGCCTCAAAGGTCAATGGGTAAGAGTGGGTTGGCATGTAGGATGATGGAGCAAGATACATTCAATCAAAATGGGGAGAGGGTCCATTTGGTTCCCAAATATGTCTTGTTCAGCCCCCTCTCTTTTTGTCCGCCCCAAACATAAATTTTAACCCATTTTCTTTATTTTGCAGGTGCCAAGAAGGTGTGGGGTGCTCTCCAAGTGATCCCAATTAATTTGGGGTCCAAAATATCTACCAATACTTCCAAAAATGGGAAGATGGGTCCTATTGTTTTATCCTTTTCCAAAAGATGTCTCTTTGTACTCATCAATGCTCTAAAAATCGGGCTAGGCGGCCACCTAGGCGCCTCCTAGTCGCTAGTCGGTCGTATGGCGAGGGGATTTCACTGAAATCGGAGGTCAAAGTCGGATGTCCGATATTTCGGGCGCCTGGAGCGACTAATCGGGCGACTTGCCGAGTAGTCGGCCATTTAAATTAATCGGCAATAGGGTTTAGCTTTTAAAATTTCGCGACCCACCGCCCACTTTATTTTTCAGATTTTCATTCGCCTCAGACAAACCTTTCCCTCTCGTTTCTCCGATTCTCCCAACTTCCCATCTTCTCCAAGTCTGTACTGTCTAGTACTCTAGCTCCAGTCGCACCAGCCAACTGAGGACCTCCAATCAGCCATTCAGCCTGAGTTTCAAGTTTCAACATCTCCACTGTCAAGCACCAGCCAACACTTTTTACAGGTAAACCCTTCACTCTTTATTCGCTTTTTTCAAAACTTTCAGCTTTCTAGCAAATTTGAAATATGATTTGTTGTTTACATATGTACAAACATGGATGTCTATACATATGAATGTGTGTGAAATTGTGAATGATCTATAGAATGTTAGAAGTAAATGTAAGAAAATCAATGTTGGAGTTGTGTAAGTTAAGTGTTTGACAAATGTCCTCAAAGAAATATAAACCATATTTCTTTACTTCTATATGTTGGGATTTGGATAGATGAACTGTTCTAGCAATACTTATAGTTTATCTTGCTAATCAAGTTAATTATTTTAGTATGCAAATGTTTTATCATTAGGTTTAATTTTAGACTTTCAGTTGATCTGTTAATGTTAATTAAACCTACTAATAAAAGTCTAAGACCTTTTGTAAAAACTAAAAACTAGGTGTAGCTAGGGTTGGAGTAGAAACTTAAACTGTCAACTTTCTAGGTTTATTTCATTGTGAAATACCTTTGTTTATTTAAGTTTATTACCCTCTCTCTAAAATGTATTAAGTTAATGTTAAATAAACTTACTAAGTTTATTTAAACAGTTAAATTGAAACTGACAACTTTCTTTTATAACTTAATAAAACTAACTCAAAGTTTGAAACTTTTTTGTTACTTGGATACTTGCTAAGTTACTGATAATAATAATATGATAACAAAAAATAGTTATAAAAGTCATTTGACTGTTTTTAGTGAAAGACTAAAAGCTCAAAAAACTGCTTGGTTGGTTTTAGACTTTTTTTGCCTTATTAGTTATTTTGTCTAAATATTGATTTTCTGATTTTAGTAATTGTTTCTTTGTTAGATATGCAGTCTTCTAGTGCATCTGCTCCACAGTCTCATACCTCTTCTGACGTTGAATCTTCCTTGCTGAAACGTAACTCTGATGATGTTGGGTGGGAATTTGGGACATTATGTGATCCTAATAATACAGATCGAGTAAGATGCAGGTTATGTTTCAAAGTAATGTCAGGAGGGGTATATAGATTGAAAGAGCATGTTGCACGTATCTCTGGAAATGTGGCTCCATGTCCAAAGTCAACAAAAGAAAACCAAGAAAAATGCTGCAATGCCATTACGCAATCAAAGCAGAAGAAAAGGAAAAAGAGAAATGAAGAAGATATGCTTCGAGCCGAAGTGAATATTGACCAACAGATGGTGGAAAATGATTTACAAGAACGACTTGGAAGTATCAAGGATCCTAGTTTTCTTGGTCCAATGGATAAGTTTGCAACTACTATCAATCCCGAAGCTTCTTTGGGTTCTTCAAAAAAGCAACAAACCATCAGTGATGTACTGTTCAAGGAGAGAACGCATTCTGTGCAGCAATATTGTTCAAGATGGGTATATGAATCTGGTATACCTTTCAACGCGATTGATAATGACAGTTTCAAGTTATTCTGTGAGGCTCTAGGGCAGTTTGGACCAGGTTGGAGTCCTCCAACTCAATATCAATTGAGGGAGACGTTACTAAAAGAAGAAGTTGAGAGAACTAAACAATTACTAAAGAGTCATGAAGAAGAATGGTAGCGAAGTGGTTGTTCCGTAATGACTGATGCATGGACTGATAGAAAAAAAAGGAGCATAATGAATTTGTGTGTCAATTCTAAGGAAGGTACATGTTTTATTTCGTCCCAAGATGCGTCAAATGAATCTCACACTGGTGAATTCATATTTCAGTATGTCGATAAATGCATTGAGAAAGTTGGCCATGAAAATGTTGTTCAGGTAGTAACTGATAATGCTACCAACTATGTTTTAGCGGCAAAGTATTTGAGGGAAAAAAAGGCCAAGTATATTCTGGTCAGGATGCGCAGCTCACACAACAGATCTTATTCTTGAAGGTATTTCAAAACTGCCCAGATTTAAGAAAGCAATAGATCAAGCTAAGGTTCTCACCGTCTTTATATATGCTCATCATAAGACCTTACCATGAAAATGTTGTTCAGGTAGTAACTGATAAGGCTACCAACAATGTTTTAGCGGCAAAGTATTTGAGGGAAAAAAGGCCAAGTATATTATGGTCAGGATGCGCAGCTCACACAACAGATCTTATTCTTGAAGGTATTTCAAAACTGCCCAGATTTAAGAAAGCAATAGATCAAGCTAAGGTTCTCACCGTCTTTATATATGCTCATCATAAGACCTTAGCTATGATGAGGGATTTTACCAAGAAAAGAGATATTGTGAGACCGGGAATCACAAGGTTTGCTACATGTTTTTTTAACTTTGCAAAGCTTATTGGAAAAAAAGTCTCAACTGAAATCAATGTTTGGTAGTGATGAGTGGGATGCATGCAAGCACTCAAAAACTGACCGAGGTAAACTTGCCTTAAAAACTGTGATGAGTTCAAGCTTTTGGAGTTCTGTAACTTTGTGCTTAAGCATTTATAGTCCTTTAGTGAAAGTTCTTCGGCTTGCTGATGGGGATAAACCATTAATGGGTTTTGTATATGGGATGCTTTTGGATGCAAGGAACTCTATCAAGGATGCTTGTAATAATTTGGAGAGGAACTATCAACCTATTCTTGATATTATTGATGAAAAGGTGAAAGATAGGTTAGATAGTGCATTGCATTTAACTGCATATTTTTTGAATCCTTACTATTTTTATAAGGATGCAAATAATCAGTTGGATCAGTTGGTTATGGATGGGTTCTTGAACTGTGTTGAGACTTTTTATCATGGAGATTTTGAGAAACAAGACAAAGTTGTCAATAATGAGATTAATATTTATAAGAACAAAGGAGGACACTTTGGGAGAGCATTAGCAATGAAAGGGTGTGAGCAAAATGATGACAAATTTGATCCAGGTATGAGTGTTTATCATTAATTCATTATTCATGTGTGAGCAAAATGATACTAGTTATATTTTATTTGAATGCACTTTTATCACTAGTTACAATTTTTATCACTAGTTAGAACTTTTCAGTTTATTACTATTTTAGTGTATATGCTTTAGTTATAAAAAAAATCTGTATAAATGTGTTTAGTAAATCTGGATATTGAGCTTAGTTTTACTCTGCATTTGAGCATTTGAATTTTTCAGTTTATTACTATTTTATTTGAGCAAGACATGTTGCCAAGAATCTCAGCATTTGTTTTTGCTAAATCTGGACATTGAGCTTAGTTTTACTCTGCATTTTTAATATTTATTTAAGAATCTTCTTTCCTTCCTAGCAAATTGGTGGACAACTTATGGACATCATGTGCCGAATTTGCAAAAATTAGCTATACGGATTCTATGTTTGACAAGTAGTTCATCCGGTTGTGAGCGAAACTGGAGCACTTTTGAAGGGGTTAGTTCCTTAAGTACTTTTGTTTATTTCAGCACTTGTAGACTTCACCTTTGGAGTTTTGATTTAAGTTTTTGGCTTAAAATATCCCTACTTGTATTCATTTCAGCATTTGTTTGACAATGTATTCTATTTACATGGCTAGATTCATACGAAGAAAAGGAATAGGTTAGATGTCAAGCGTCTAAACAGTTTGGTGTATGTCCAATTCAATGCAAAGTTACTCAAAAAAAGGAAAAGGACATGGATGACTATATTGATTTGCTAGCAAGTGATGCTAGGAATGCACAAGGGTGGTTGGCTAGTGAGAGTGAAATTGATGAAGATATTGTCCATGCTACTGAAGAAGCATCTCAGGGAAATGAAATACCCCAAATACCACAACCACGAAGGAGTGCCAGACTTAGAGAAGTATATGATGATGACTTTGAATCTGATTTAGAAGAAACAGATCTGGACATTGATTTTCTGTCCATTGGAGAAGAAGATATGGCATAGCTTTGTAACCTTTGAAGCCGATTCTATACTTCCTATTAAACTATGAAGAAGTTTTGTTGCCTCTTAACTTGTTCTAAATTTATGTTTGCATTTTGAATCCTTGCTCAGATGACTGAAACTTTAAACTTTTGTTTACCATTTATGTTATTTGGGATGGTGATCTATTGTTGAACTTGTTAGGTTTGTTGCTTCTTGAGTTGTTTAATGGAAGCTCCCATTGGTTTATCAATTATGGCATGAAATCATTAATTATGGAAGTTGGTTTTTATATATTTTTTACTACATACATGGATAAACATGGCTGAATGACTGATTTTAGGCAGAAAAAACCGTGCTCCGTAGTAGCCGACTAGTCACCGACTAGTCGCCGATTAGTCGGCCTAGGCGCTAGGCGGCCCTCTGGCGCCCGACTAGCGCCTAGCGAGTTTTAGAACATTGGTACTCATCCTAATTTATTTAGAACAAGTCAACTTCCTACATCATATTATTGATTCCCAATATGTGTAGGATCATCCCAATAATTCATGTGTTGAAAATTATAGAACACATATTCCCATTATTTGGCTCAATAATGTCAAAGATGGGACCATGGACATTTGTATTCTTCTCTAATCATCTTAACACTTATTTGTGACATTATTATTCACATTGTTAGGCTACAAGCCGTGTGGGTCACCCCCGAGTAGGCCTAGGACGTCATTGTTGAATACTTACTATTTTTAGCGGGTTGGGCCCAAAATAATGTTTGGGCTGCCCAACCTTCCTCAACTTGTCTAGAAAGGTTAAGTATCATTATTTAGATAATGTTGGGCTCTTTTATTCATTAATAAGGCCCGAATAAGTATTTGCAAAACCCGACCCTAATATACGAGTTTCAACAGTACAATATTCAATCATGCACTACGTAAAACATAAATTGTTTTACAATTGTTTGGTAAACCGGAAATTCAATACATAAACTTTGAATTTTAAATTGAATTTTCAAGGACGTTCGGGTGCGGTGCCACAGACCGACTATATTGCTTATAATCATTGGGTTAATTTCATGAGATTTCCTAGATGAATACAAAACGTGATTTGCATGGATTATTAATGGTTAATAATGCCTAAATGAAATTACTATTGATTATAAGTATAGTATGCATAACATACAAATTTATGAATAAATTGTGTATGTTTATATGTTATGAATATGATGGTATGATGGTTGTATTAACCATGAATTTCATATGTGATAAATATGCTTTTATTTCATGAGAAGAAGCCATGAAAGTATAAAAGTGATATTTTGATATTAAGGCCAAATTACACATGAATGAAGAATTATATTGAAATGAGTAAATAACTAGTATTGAAATATTAGTTGGAAATGTTAGTTGAATAATGGATGAATTAGATCCTAAGAAATTAAATTGTAAAGAATCCATGATTATGAGCTGGGCTCTAGATCGATGTAGGAAATCGGTGATTATGAGTTGGGCTCTAGACCGATGTAGGAAATCGGTGATTACGAGCTAGGCTCTAGACCGATGTAGATAACAGTGATTATGAGCTGGGCTCTAGACCGTAGTAGATAACGGTGATTATGAGTTGGGCTCTAGACCGTAGTAGATAACAGTGATTATGAGCTGGGCTCTAGACCGTAGTAGATAACGGTGATTATGAGTTGGGCTCTAGACCGTAGTAGATAACGGTGATTATGAGCTGGGCTCTAGACCGTAATAAATAACGGTGAATTGACATTAAATGAACGGGGTTAACTATAATATAATAACACCCTAGTTGAGGGTCTTGGAAATTGAAACATTGATTATACTTAGTATAGTTGTCATTGTCTTTTTCAAATGCTTCAAAGTACTGACCTCCCCTTCACGGGGGAGGCCACCTCACAGTTTCAGGTAGAACTTGAAGGTTGCTACGTTTGCCATTGATTCGTAGAGACCAAGGGAGAGAAGACGTGGTTCATGCTTCCTCCGTTCCTGTTTTAAAAACAATTACATTTAATGCTCATGGATATTATTTTTCTAAATAACTTTTTGAGGGCTTGTACGCCCATGTGTGCCAAGTGTGGCTTGAACACTTGTAATATTGTTTCCGCTGCTTTAATGAATGATTTTGCATTATGTTGGTTTATGGATGTACTACGTGTGAATGATATTCCAGACGCCTTGTATAGCATGAATGTGTTGAACTGCGGTTGACTATTCGTACTGTGCGGCGGGTTGTTGACGTGTCCGGTGGGTCCGGGGCGTGACATTGCCTCCACATATGGCAGGCCCTGACAAGTCAAAATTCGGTTGTGGTGCTGAAATATCCAAATGTGAGATAAAGCCATCTGAATGGCACTATCAAAAGACTGATCGGTCAATAAAGTGGTCTTGAAAGGAAAAAATCCTCAAAAAATCACGTCTCTGGAAATGAAGACCCTGTGTGCCGTAAGATGAAAAACCTTGTTTGCCTTTTGCCCGATAGGATATCCCAGAAATATGCAGGGACTCCCCCTCTCGCTGAACTTATATATCTTTCTTTTTATTATCATGAGCATAGACTAGACACCCAAAAACGCGAAGATGATTACCTAGCTGGCAATGATCTCACCCACATTTCTCGAATCAAGCATTATCTGCATGAACAATTCATGACGTGCACTTTGTCGTGAGGTGCACTCAAAGTAATAATACAATACAACACAAATACGTAGTATAGTGAAGTAAGGTTCGTATCCACAGGGAAAAGAATACTTTTCTTCTTACAGAAATAGATAAGTAACAATAAGGGGGGTTTATATTTGGTTGATGAACTTTAAATTATATTTAAACACGAAGATGAACGAGTTATGTGGTTTAATTAATAAGAAGGAGACTTGGCTTTGCTTTTATCCACTTAATGAAATGTTCATCGATCCCGGTTATATCTTTAACTATCTTCCTCTCGAATACTCAATCGAGGAGTATATCCAATTCATCGAGGGTAGTTATTAATAACGAGACGCGTTCATTAATAAAACTTACTACCGAGTTTATATAGAACACGCGCCATATATTCACTCGATAGTAGCAATGAAATCAAGATGAAAACGATTGAGATTGATAACCTCAACACAAGCGGTTTATTGGTTTAATCAATATAATTAATTCCCCTTGGTTTATTAACCATGAAACGCATGCATTAATAACCCAAGTTTACTACCGTGAAAGGACCGAATTAATAACAAGCGTATTAATCGACCGATTCTAGTAATAATTAATATATGAAACAAAACTAGTTGATCCTTTAAGTAATGTTCAATATATTAATATGAAATATGAATAGGAATTAATTAATATTCAAGAAAGAATATTAAAGAAGATGAATCCTACTATAGTTAATATCAAGATGTTAACTAATTGTCATCTTAGTAACACTCCCCAATATTAACATAGAGGAAGAAATAACTATTACTATAACTAATGTCAAGATGTTAACTAATTGTCATCTTAGTAACACTCCCCAACATTGATATAGAAATAGTATTTAAAGGAAGAAGTAATATTCAAGGAAGAAGATTAAAGAGAATAACTCACAACTTACAAATTCATTAAGCTTCAAAGTAGCAAAACCAAGATGGAAGAGTTTAGCTCCTCATTTGGAGACTAAACATGATGAAAAATATAAAGAAAGAACTTGTCTAAACTGAGCTAAGAAGTATATGTGAATTGGTGGTCTTCTTGTGGAGGAAATGGGGTGTATTTATAGGCCTTTTAGGCCTGCAGGGTCGTGTACCCGATCGGGTTTTCAGCCCACTCGATCGGGTACAAGATGTGGCTTCGTCGAAGCTGGAAAATGGGGTCATACCCGATCGGGTCTGTCGGTCACCCGATCGGGTATGGACACCCGAACGTGTTAAAATCTTCCCGCATGATGCCTTGTTCCCGGATTTGATTTGATTCGAAATTTCAGAAGGGTACCCGATCGGGTATAGGTCATACCCGACCGGGTACAGACCAAAATCGGGATCCTCCATTTTTTTCTTGCATTCTTGCACCTTCCTTGCACTTGTGATGTTCACCAATGGTCTCTAAAGTGTACTTGGACCTGTTTGAGCTCGGAATAAACCTAATCTAAACATATTACAAATATTTTGCAAACTAAACTATTTACACCAAAAGTGTGTAATTTCCAAAGTAATAATCACTCGAAACTAATTAAAAGCACAAATTTAAATATGGAAATTACATGAATGTCAATTCACCATCAAGGACCTTGGCACGCTCAAATACTTTCTTGGCATAGAAGTTGCTCGTTTGCCTGCCGGGATCATTCTTTGCCAGCGGAAATATACTTTGGATATATTGCGGGAAAGCGGCATGCTCGGAAGTCGACCAAGTCCAACTCCCACATAACAAAATTTTAAGTTACGACCTGATGATAACAGTGCTCCTGTTGATACAGCTATGTATCTGACTATCACAAGACCTGATATCGTCTTCCCAGTGAACCAGCTCAGTCAGTTTCTTTCAAAACCC